TGTGTGTGTGTGTGTGTGTGGAGGTGGAAGGTCTATACTAATAATTTAAGGCTAGCTTGAGTGTATGAACTGCAGGGTGCAGCAAAACACGCTTGTTCCCCGTTACTGCACTTACCAGTTTTACCTAGCTAAAAGCTGGCTGGCAACAGGTCAGCCAATAAAATCCATGCAAATGGACACACAATCACTTCCTGCATTATTTTCTGTTGTATAGTAACTGTTATAATGGCGAATCCTCGCATTAAACATGGTCAAAGTTTCAAACAACGAGTTCGGCTTGTGTGCAAGTGATCACTGTGAGGGAAAGAAAGACACAGGAGCCCCTCCCACCTGTTGTTCAAACCTTCTTTTTGTGAGGAGCAGCCAATGAGATGAAAGTAGGGTGGTCTAAAAGAGAGAGAAGAGAGAGGCTGCAGTAAGGTCACGTATAACCTAAATACAACTCTGAATAATACAAATCTAATTAAATACAGAGACTAAACTCATCACAGTAAGTCTACTTTAAATATTTAAAAGGGCCTCTATAGAGAGAACAGGTTGTGCTTCCCCCCAAAAAACCATTGCATGTGTGTTTGAGTCCTAGGACATCCTGGGTGTGTGTAGAAGTGAAGCCTTTCTGTGCCATCTGTTGGGAGCAACTAGTTGAGTTAAAACTGTCCGTGTGAAGAGCCCGAGACATTTAACCCATCTAAGGGTGGAGAGGAGAATGTGGCAGTGTGTAGTGGCACTGGGACTGTAAAAGAGGGCCATCACAGCTGAAAGAGAAAAAGAGCCCTCCATCCACAGATAAACAGGATGAGAAAACACACAGACACAAACACACACACACACACACACACACACACACACACACACACACACACACACACACACACACACACACACACATTCACTTTCATCTCAATGAAAAAAAATGTCTGTTGGTTACTTTAACTTGACACCAAGACAGGTTAAAAAAAAACAAAAGCTTACCAGCACCTGTAAAGTTCACTAATTAACATGCTATATCTCATTTGCTTAATCCGTACAAAAACCAAAGTGGAAAACAAAGACGAATCCAAATTTTACTGGAGGTTGAAGTGTTTCCTGACTGGGGACCATGAACATCCCAGAGTCTCCTGTTTGGATGGGGGAAGCGGTTCCACATGGAGGCTTTTGTGAGGATTAAGCAAATGAGATACAACTTGCTGAATAATGAGCATTAGGGGCACTAGTAGGTGGATTTTGTTACCCTTGGACCGCTTGCCATTTCCGCCTATTTCCACCTCTTTGTTAGCAGTCTAGTTTTAACTCTGGGCTAAAGTGCTTTTCCCAACAAAAAAAAAAAAACATGTCAAACTTCAACACTTATTTCAAAAAGAGGACTTACAGGATTAGCGCCTATTGAAAGCTTGTATTTTTAAAACAGTCACCTGTTGCTTCCAGAGTTGCTCTTTGCAGCTTCAGGGAGATAAGTGTGGCCCTTATATATGTGACAGATACGCCGTCTCCGATTGGGAGCCACATCCAGATTTTTCCTCTGCCAGTCCCATTTCTGTCTCCACCGTTTCATTACTTGGGGGTGTGAATTCATCTCCCGTCTTTTGTCACGAAACCTTCGCAAGCACACACCAAAGTGCTCCGAGCAATCCAACCTCAAGCAGCGCGAGAAGGAAACAGGTGATGAGGAGGTTGTAAAGGACTCTGTTACACCTTAAATTACACCGCCCACCATTCTATATAATTTTGGAGTCTCTACTAAGTAAGACACCGTAAAGATTCATTTAAAAAGGTCTTCACACTGCGTATTCATGGTTGAAGTTTTTCAGAAGACTTTTGGTTTTTCCATCTGAAAGGTGACTGCATGAGTCACTGCACTTTAACTCGTGATAAAAAAACATCATTTAAAAAAAAAAACAACCTTATACAATATAAACGCGATGCAGCATTTCATATCTACTTTTCTTTTTCTGTGCAATCCCCCCTCCCCCCTTCTTCTTCTTCTTCCCCAGATTTCACCTCTGACAGTCTTGCCCTAGATATTTCTCTATCCCTGTCAGACACACTTGCAGGTCTCATCGGCTGCCAGCTGTGGAGGAGAGGACGTGGAGATCAGCGCAGATGAGAAGTGAAAAGGATGAAGGGAAACCAATCGATCCAAAAACCTCCATCCTAATCTTGTTGACGTCCTCAGATGGTGCAGACAGGAGCCCTGGAGCAACTTTGGGGAACATATTAAATCCAAAACATAAATAAATTTTTAAAAATGACTTTTTTAACCATTTCCTGTGTTGTTTTTAAACACAGCCAGTATTTGAGCTTGAGACAACACTGGCGTGCACACAGGTGGGTTGCGCGCACACACACACAGACACACACACGATCTCTCTACTACAGAAACTTTTGATTAATTTCATCAGCTTCACATATGTTGACTTGTCAGCTCCTTCAGCCTTCAGCAGCACATCAGAAGCACATCAGAAGCACTCGGCTGCACCCTCCTGGCTGAAGCGTGTAGTGCAGCTTTTTTCATAAGAAGAATTTTGTAACACATTTTTGCTTTTATTTCCAAGCAAATGTACAGATGTTCGCCATTTACAGCCACAGAAATGTTGGCGAAAATCCACAAGATATGACCGTTTAAAAACTGTATACAAAAAGAGCCCAAAAAACTGTACATTCAGTAACATAACTACATTTAAATATTGTTCATACATGTATATACAGTACTGTATCTCAGTTCGTAGATACTGCCGGTTATGTGAAGTGCAGCTCGCTATACAATAACACATTTTCAAAAAAAAGATAACATTTGAGTTGAAAGGCCGTCAGTTCAAAGATTCAGTGTGGACTGGTACAGAAGGTCTGTTGATGGCTTTTAAAGTTTCTACAGCGAGGTGTCGGTCCTCAGGAATGATGGTTCAGTGCAGGGGTACCTCCGTGAAACAACTAACACCACAAATCTCTTTGTCCTTTCGTTTAAAGCTATGCATACAGACATACACGTGTCCACTTTTTTTGCCACAATCCAGTTTGTTTGTTGGAATATTCTGAGATATAAACAAGACACACATTAAATACTGTCTCTGAAAAGTAAAACAAAAAAAGAGGGGTTTCTCAGATACCCCTCCCCCAAAATAGCAGTGCAGTAACTTTTCATTTTTGTAAGTTATTGAGACTTCCAGATGCCTCCAAGTTTCAGGAGTATGTCAGGTTTCAATGACCAACCGCAACCATAAATATGAAAGGGTCTTTTCATTTTGAAGTAGTCCCCTAACCCACTACAGAAAGAATTAATCCATCCAAGAACTTTCATGAGTTAAAGAATAAGGACCATGCTTAGTCACCGCTGTGTAAGTACTGATCTGAGATCTCAGACAGGATAATGGATTTTTCACTGTCATGGTTGACATTTGAATATAAGTGACTCTCTGTCGCTTAGCTAGTGCTAAGAGGTCACATTTGTTGCAGAGAGACATTTACAAGCAGCTTCAGTTTGATTATACTTATTGCTTCTCCCAGCTAGTTTAGTCCTGTGGTCATAGTGTCTGTCAGCTCTCACATGGCATTATATTGTAGACTTTTGTTTTTCCCCCCTCCCATTTCATTAACAATTGTTGTGTTATTTGTGTGATTCTTTAGCAGTTAAGGTACTGAAGCCTTGGTACATTGTTTACAATGAAAAACATCTTTCTAGTCCAAAGGCCAATCAGAATTCAGGGCAAACAATAAATGGAGAGACAGGATCTTTGTTTTCTTCATTCAGATAATAAAAACAACAACAACAAAAATCCAGTATTTTCTAACTTACTTCAATTGTTCTAAGTCGTAGAGTCCGACAGATATATGATTTTTTTAACTGATACCGATATATGGTGATTTAAAAATCCAATTTTCTGATATATGTGCTGATTTTTTTCTCCGTTTCAGGTACAAAAACACATTCCCCTAATATTTGTCACGTGTAGTTATCAGTTTGCTTATTTAGGCTCAGATTACCTGTTTATTATGTTTGTTTGTTGCCAAAAGGGATGTTGCACAGTGCCCTCTGATGGACAAACTATGCACTGTCCTCATAGCATAACTGAAGGTTGTCTTATTGGCTGTTACAAATACGGATGCCAATACATCGGAAAAAAGCTAATATCATTCGATAAATATCGAAATCTGCTCTACTAAGCAGATCCATCTGGAATGTTCTTCTTTTTTTGGTGCGTAAAGCAGCAACAGAAAATACTTTTTTTTTTTTTTGGAATTTGGCCAAACCAACCCTTCATTTTAGACAATTCCAACAGTACAAGAAACCCTTTTGCTTTACCATCAACTTTAAATCTCCGAAACTTGGAGATGGAAAAAAACAAAAGAAAAGAAAAACTACCATTGATCACCTGTAGCTGATTGGAAAAAGCAGAGCTGGAGCTCTTCAAGTCTGTGGTCATAAAAGGGAGAATTTTCCACATTGTACATAATCAAAAACAATTAAAAAATAACATTTCAGAGACAAATGCCCTCATGGGCATTTATTTTTAAAAAAAATTAATACAAGCTATAAAAAAACAGATACTAAACATAAGTGGTATTTGTTCATTGACTGTGTGTCAGTTCTGCTTGTTCAGTAGAAGTCTGCATAAAAACTTGATTTCACATTCGCCTTTTCACCTACAGTAGTTATTTCATTCCTCCAGTTACATCCATCATCTGCTGTGCCCTTGTACCATTGAAGCGCCTATTAACAGTATCAAATTAACCACAAAGCAAAGACAGGCTGTGAAAACTAGCACAAGGCACCTAATGTAAAGCAGCTAAAGAATCTCTAGCAGCAACAAGGCTTTGGTTCATAGAACTAAAAACATCAGATCTACTGTCTCACGATGGATGAGTCGATGTATGAACGGAGGAACGACAGAGAAGACGCAGAAGGGGATGGATGAAATGATGATGATGAGGCAGATGGAGACAACTGTCACAGAGGTAGGAACAGCTTCAACATCGCTTCAAGAGAGGGAGGGTGTGAGGGAGAGAGAGAGAGAGAGAGAGACAGAGGGTACGAGTTGAAACAGGAAAGTGTGAGACAGAATTCAAAGAGCGCACTGTAAAGGCCCTTTTTTTTAAGCTGGAGAATCTCATTAGATTTCTCTAACACCGTTATAAGGCTTTTAAGGGCAGGAGCACTAAACTGTTAGATGCTACAATCAACCTGATCTGCAGAGCTAAAAAGCATCTTATTCTATTGAGATGAGGTGGAAAATGAGTATGAAAGGATATTAAGACGCTCGCTTCCCTGTCACATTATTAAAATAGATTTTTTTCACATTTTTTGTACATGCATTTTTTTTTTTTTTACACTTAAGAACCCCATATATACTTATTCTTCCATTTTCTACTGTACACAGAATATGAGAGGACACTTTGCTGTGTTACTGGTCAGTTAAAGGTCCTCTCACGGCCAATAAAAAAAAAGTGTTTCTATCTCGATTCCTTTTTTTTCTTTGAATTGGTTGTGCCGGCTGTTTGTTTCATAATTTAATACATTATCAATGATTTGATATTTATTTAAGGCATCAAACCATTTGGGGCACTTTGAGTGAATTATATTAAAAGGAGAAATATATATAATTTTAAAGTGCTTCAATCAAAGTAAATACAAGCAACCAGCTATTATCTAAAGGTGATCATAAAGCATTACCTGCTGTTTCTTTGGTAAATGATATCAGTGAAAAATACAGCAGAGTTTACAAGACGACATTAAGGCAATAAGAAACAGCCAGGTAGCGGTCACACAAGCAGTTCCTCTGTGTTCTACTACAAGACATTTAGTCATCCAAAGATAAGGTAAGTTTACAATCTATGTTCAAGATGATAGGACAGATGGAGATTAACAGATACACACACAGTCTTCTATCAGCACACACAGATATGCAAGCAAACTTCTAACACAGCAAAGCTCTAAGCTACCTAAATGTGACTCTGAAAGTTTAAATGTTGGCTGTATGACATGTTCACAAAGACCAACTCCTACTGACTCTGCTATTGGAGCCCAGGAGTAGCCAATGAGATGCGTACGTGCAATATTACTCATTCCCATGTTTTGGTCTATTTGTGCCGTTTGCATTCTCTGTATTTACACCCTATGTGCTGTACAGTATGATGATGATCTCAATGCATACATGTTGGCTTTGGTATCGACTTAAACACTGCTTTTGTTCACTTTATAAAACAAAATGTAACTATATATATTATATATAATATATATATATATATAATAATATATAAATTATATATGTTATTATATAATTATTATATAATATATATATATATATATTTACACACACATTTAATCAAGTGTTTCAATTTTACTATCAAAGTAACAAATTACCATGGAAACAGGATAAAAACAAATGTGAAAAATTGTAATTTGCCTACAATATTTGCACTTGTTGCATTTCAGCTTACATTTAAAAAAACATAATCATGCTCAAAATACTGACTTTAAGTAATCAGATTACATGTAAATTTTCCATGTATTTTTGTTATTTAAGTAAACTGTTAAATTGTCACCAGTATATATTTCTTAATAACAAATTATTTAAATAAATGAACCTTTGTTTTTCTTTTTCTATTTCAAGATCATTTTGCTCTAAATTATTGCTTCATGTTTATGACAGCCAAGAGGCTTTTCTGTGTTTTGTCGCTAAGGGTGAGCTAGTTTAAGAGCTTTCAAAGCTCCCACACGTTTTTAAACCAGACATATTGTGGCACAGAAAGCACCATGAGCTACGCTTTTCTGTCATTATTAACTGACTTGACCACCGTTTGCCATCTAATCAAAGTTAGGACAATCAGCTTGCTGTATCGTTTGCACAAATGAATCAGAAATTAAGCAAAAATTGTATCTCATCCCGATATAAAATAATTTAATTCCCCTATACGGCTACTTCCGGGCTCCATAGACTAATTTTTCAACATTTATTCTTCCTTCTATTACAACCCTCCTTACAATGATGCAGTTTCTGATCCCAGAGTCCTAAGCAGTGTTTCTGGATAACATGTTTGCACACAGGCAACACCAGTTAGTCCTAAAAAGAGGCAAAACAGACAGAAGGGAATAAAGACAGATGGCAGCGACTGAAGACAAGAAAATGTTTGATCACAGAAAGCTTAAGCTAGCTTGAGCACGTCTACAGTCGTCCTCATTATCATCATTCCGGTCATAGAACATCAGCATGATTATCACAATAGCCATTAAAACACCCTAATAATCAGAGTAAAGTACACTTCAGCTACCATCAAAGGGAGGCAGGCGTAAAGGGCCAGTGCACATATTTTTCATGTGAAACACAAGCTCGAGTCAGTTTGTTTGCTGTGACATCATTACACTGAGCCCTTTGCACGTTGTGGCAGCGAACCAGGCCCTGTCGACGGGGTCCACTCCAGAGCCGTCCAACAGTGCTTTGCGCCACACTTGGCTGCTAACTTGACAGAAATTATGAAGGTCACTTAGCATTGCAGTCTCCTCAACTGTTTATTATTTTACTCCAACTCAGTAACGTCGAAGCAAGTAAGTAAGCTCCAAAATTGCTTTCCACCAATTTATCTGAGTAACTCCATGTGGATGACATTGTTTCTGATATTAGAATATAAGATTTTAAAAAAAATACCCCGGAGAAAAAGAAATAAATTAGACTGAGGTCTCAGGCCCGGCCCCGCTGTAATTGTACCCCTGCCTTGAATAGCGGGAGCTATCAGCAAACCGGAGGAGGGGGGTGAAGGTGCAGTAGTCTGGCGCTTTTTGCCAGCGTGTGAACATGACTTTCTTGGTAAAGGGTTCAGACCTTCGAGGGTTCCTTTGGTTTTCCGAGCCTCGCCGGTGGCTGCTACCCTTAGATGGAGCGTGGAGGGAAGCCAAGGGGGTGAACTCAGACAGCTGGCCCTTGTAGAGTTTATCTGCATTCTGTATGAGGGCACAAAGGGAGGAAAAGGGGACAAGGAGGAAGAGAAAGTTCAGAGAAAGTAAAGAATAAAACATGGCACTTGTGGAGTAATGCAAAAGAAGAAGGTGGTAACACGTCGCAGCTGGCCATAGTTTGAACAGATAGCATGTGACTTGGTGGAGTCGAGTCTCCATCCTGTAACAATGCCTCTGTGAGGTCCTGAACTATAAAACTGCCTGTAAACCAGGACTCTTCACCTGATAGCCATCAACCCCATCAATGCCCCCAAGGCTTAATGGGAGCAATGAGCATTATGTGCTGTTAGAGCAACTTATTAATGCTCATTATAACTAAGTCTGGGCCTCTCTTATATAAACCAATATAATCAGCATATAAGCATTTAAGATTATATATTTATTACCTAACACTAACAAATATGAATACATCTGCATACTGCAGGCACCTGATCCTGGGCACAATGCTACATCCTCAAGCTTCAGTTGTTTTTAAATGAATAAAGTATTTCATTTCCTTTAATTTAATTTGCCAGCTGTGAGGTTAAATTTTCCATCCATTCTGTTCAGGTTTAAAAGCAAGCATGTTAAGAGCAACAAAAAAATAATAAATCATAAACACCAAAAACATGCAAATGTCAACAAAAAGCTAAACATGCGTTCATTTCCTCTGCAAATATTACTTTTCTGTCTCTGTAGCAACACATTATACCACTAGATGGTGCTAAAGCTCCATGTGAGAAATCACCCAGCTGGAAGTAAAGTCAGTTGAAATACCTGAAGAAAATGGTTGAGCTTTTAGGACCTTCATACAAATAAAGCACACCACTCCAACCCTTGTGTTAGTCAAATACAACAACCCAAAGTCAAACCACACCAGTTAACCCACCATCACACAGCAGCAACGTGTGCATTTTACCGTGCTGAAGCCCTGTAGGCTTCTGTGACAGCTACTCCATCAACAAGGAATCAGAGCTCATGTAGGCCAGGGCCCTCTCATACCTTTTATTATCTCTCCCTTGCTGCAAATATACACACACATACACACATTTGAAGACAAACACTTCTACCATACGGACTCAAAATTGAAGCATCAAAGTAAGAGTGGTTTTTAAAACAAAAGGTGATTAAGGCCACACTGAATCAAGATGTAGATGCAAAGGCATGCAGTCAGATAAGACTGTAACTTCATGCAAAACAGTGGAAATGACAAAGTAACAGGATACAGACTGAAAGGAAAATAAAGAGAAAGACGAGACAGTAGGAAAGGCTGAGGGTCACCTACAGAAGGGCTGGGTTAGAAACTGATTCTGCTGGAGGTCTGAGACAGCATAAAGATGGTGGAAGGCTCGGAGGCAAGGCACCGACGCTTAGTCTGCCAGGGAGGAGAACCACAGAGGGAGAAGGAGGAGGAAGCAAGAGATCAGGAGGGGTGAACAAAGGCAGGGAAGAGTTACAGCTGGGAAAGAAACATGTCAGATCTTCCAAAATGCCACATGATCAGTTTATGAGATAGACAGCAGCATGTAAACATTCTTCGTAGGCTTCTCAGGAGAGACTGGATCATACTGGAAAGTCTTTGGTGATGGTTATTAGCTCTCCACAACCACAGTTATCAGGGAGGTTATAGGAAAATGAGTTTGGGATGTAGAGGGAGAAATAATTAGTATCTGTAGGAAAAGGAAGTGAAGCAGACTGCACTGCAGCCTTCCCAGAAAGGCTGAGATCACTCATCTAGTGCTATCCATACAATGCACCTACTCATACAAAAACATTTGTGTTTTGTTTTTCAGTAACTCCACTGTAACTGGATCCCAGTGCTTCATATATTATGTATCATTATATCGTCTTGTTTTTTTATGGACATAATTTCTTCTGTCAACTTTCAGTGGAATACTGAATATTTCAGTATTTTGCTGCTAATGAATGCCTTCTGCCATTCATTATTTCT